TGACCAAAATATATTAAAGAGTCAGTTCCTTCTTTCTGATCAGAAAGTTTTTATTTTATACAAGTGTTGACCCGTAATGAAATACAAAAAATCAAAACCAAACAGAGAGGGGAAAGGGGGGATTTTATTCTTTTATTTTTATTATCATTATTATTAATGTTAATGATTATTAACATCATTAATAATATTATTAATGTTATATAATAGTGATATTATAATAATATAGTAGTAATATAATTGTAATATTAATATTATTATTCTTATTATTATTATTATTATTATTATTATTATTATTATTATTATTATTATTATTATTATTATTATTATTATTATTATTATTATTATTATTATTATTATTATTATTATTATTATTATTATTATTATTATTATTATTATTATTATTATTATTATTATTATTATTATTATTATTATTATTATTATTATTATTATTATTATTATTATTATTATTATTATTATTATTATTATTATTATTATTATTATTATTATTATCATTATTATTATTCAAAAAAAAATTCCTCTCTTACCTCTGCATGCGTGTCGGGCCGGCAGACCACCTATGCACGCTTTTCTTAGCGTGGTAGGAGGGAACCCGGTACGACACCTACGCCGAGGTAGGTGAGCGATCCCTCGACCCCAAAGTCTTGTCCTCGGTGTGTGCGACGAGCCGGTCAACCACCTAAAAATGTTTTTCTTAGCATGGTAGGAGAAAATCTGATGCGACGCATACGACGAGGCAGGTAAGCCTGGTGCAAGCTTTTCTTAGCGTGGCTAGGAAAACTTTTAAGTACCCGTACGCGGCTCTATACCTACAGGGAAACAACTGCTTCCCTCTTGTAACAGGTACTGAAGACCCATACACGCTTTTCTTAGCATGGTGGGGGACAAAGATTTTACGGCCGCAGTGTCCTCGTACGAGGGCACCTACCATACACGCTTTTCATAGCGTGGTGGGAAGGCCCAGTTTTTCGTAATTTTCCCCTAAATGGGGGAGGCACCGGGAGGCTGCCGAAATTTCGGGTGAATATACGACCGCACTCGGACCTGATTTGAACTCGAAATAACAAGAACTTGGATTCAAATGAACATTGACTTGTGGACTTGAACAAAATCTAAATGACGAATAAAAGGTCAAATCCAAATAAAATAAGATCAAACTGGAACCAAAATTCAAATCAAGTGAACATGAAATTGAGCCTGTAAAGAATTTAGAAGACTTTGAACAAGCACTTGAACATGTATTCTTAACTCGAACATTAATGGCTTAAACAATTTGAACTCAAGCGAGTACTTGAGTTGGACTACAGGGGACATAGAACTGAGCTTGCACATTGAGCTTATGAACTTAATTTGAACTAGACTTGAAAGGACTCAGACTTGAGTTTGATTTGAACATCATTGCCCCCTCATATTCGATACCAATCAAACTACAACACCTTTTACGGATGTATTCAATGAAGCATACAACGAATGCAAATGCCCGCTAGTGTCAACAATCATCTGATAAAAGACAAATACATATATCCCTTGTAACTGGAGGGTGGTTGATTAGCACATCAAGTGCAAATGCCGACGAATATGAAATGACCACATCAAAGCATAATAATTGTGGGATAGATACGAGTATGCATGAATGATAGTGATATTCATCCAAATGAATATCAAGACAAAGATGATTGATGCATGTATCAATCATACAAACAAGAGTATTGCCCTGAAAGATAACAATGAACCTATCTTCAAATATGGATTTATAAGATAAAGTGCAGTACTCCTACAAGCAACAACCACCCAAGGAAAACAAATATGCATATCCCTATATGCAAAAAGGGAGTAGTTGAAAAAAAATTACTTTTACAAACAAATGCAAACATCAAACCCACCTTAGATTGGTGAAAGGTGAATATGATGCAAGAACAATGATTCTCCTACGAATATTTTAAAGAGATCGTAGTGGATGTAACGGGTTCCTGTAAACAAACACAAGCCACCTATGGATAACAACAATGGGTATATCTTAAATCCAACGAACCCTTGTGGACACAAGTACATGTATCACCTACAACAACGGTGATTGAGATCTATGAATACGTCGGATACGAGAACAACTCAGTGTATGGAGAAGGACATCCCCTGGCAGAAGGAAAGGGATATTTGAACAAATTAGAGCTAAATTTCCTTGTGTTCCAAAGTTTCTTCTTGGTCCTGTCCTTAGAAAGAAAACAGTTCTGGTACCCACAAACACCGAAAATAACAAGTCTACTACACTGGTGATGTTGTAAGGAGTTCTTTCAAAGCTACGGTCACGAATTTCAAGAAAGAACTCCCGGTGAATGAGAAAAGGGAGTGTCCATCAGATCAATGAGGTATCTCATTCCAATCAAGTGACAAATTTATGATTCACCTGTATGTAAAGCAGGAGATTCGTTAGTGAACTATAATCTAATTGCAGAATGCAGTAAGTACTGCATGACAGTCTACCTGTATAAAGCAGCGGACAACTCTATTCAGAAGCTGCTACACAATGCCACCGGATCTGCAATATTCATGCAAGCGAATAGAAGGCGTTTACAAATATTTCAAAGTACCACTGCACATGCACTGTAATATGTATGCACATAGGTACACTAAAGGGGTAAATACAATCAACACCCGCATGAGCCCTAGCGAGCATGTTATTGGTACACACGTGACGTCTAGGGATGTTGCGCGGGTTATTAAATTTGAACCTGATCCTCCTAAACAGGTAAAAAGGAGTCGACAGGATATAATTATAAAATGCCCCCAAAACACCCGCATGGGCCCCGACGAGCATGTTATTGGTACACACGTGACATCTAAGGATGCTATGCGAGTTAATAAGTGAATTATAGTTTGAACACGATCCTTCTATAAAGATCAATAGGAGTCGATAGGGTTCGAACCATCAAACAAATATGCAGTTGCGGCGACCAATATATTTGTTTTAATACAATCATACTAGGCCTTCAACATCTATAATCAAGAGAATTCATTAATATAGGTATAAAGCCGACGAAACCAGATCCTCTATTGATAAACTGACAGAGTCGACAAGGTCCAGTCAATGAAATGAAAGTGATCTCAAACACCCGCATGGGCCCTGGCGAGCGCGTTATTGGAACGCACGTGACGACTAGGAATGCTACGCGGGTTAATAAGTGAATTCCAGTTCAAACTCGATCCTTCTATACAAATCAATAGGAATCGACAGGATTCAAATCATCAAACAAATATATGGTTGCGACGACTAGTATATTTGTTTTAATACATTCATATTAGGCCTTTAAGGTCTATAATCAAAGGAATTCAATAATAAAGGCAAAAAGCCTACGAAACCTGATCCTCTATCGAAAAACTGACAGAGTCGATAAGGTCCAGTCAATGAAATGAAAGTGATCCCAAACACTCGCATGGGTCCCAAGCGTGTTATTGGTACACACGTGACGTCAAGGGATGCTACACGGGTTAATAAGTAAATTTCAGTTCGAACCCGATCCTTCTATACAAATCAATAAGAGTCGACAGGGTGATTCGAACCATCAAACAAATATGCGGTTGTGGCGACCAATACATTTGTTTTAATATATTCATATTAGGCCTTCAATGTCTATAATCAAGAGAATTCACTAATAAAGGCATAAAGCCTACGAAACAAGATCCTCTATCGATAAACCGATAGAGTCGACAAGGTCCAATCAATGAAATTGAAGTGATCCCAAATGCCCGGATGATGGCCGTGTTGAACGAAGATTTCAACCATAGGGGTTAACTCCAAATATTTCAAATGTCATCCCAAATATCCACAAAATCCAAATTTTCCAAAAAAATTTATCGCAAACAAAAATATTTAAATTGAAACAAATCCTTCAACACTTAAAGCAAAACCATCCACCCTCCACAACAGTTTTTCGAGGTGACAAATTCAAATATAACTTCAGCTTACATAGAGCTAATGCTAGTCGAAAATATCACTAGGTCTATTCAAAACAATTCCTGCAATAAAGATGTGGTACGTGTCCCCTAACCGCGATTTTGCCGTCAAATGGCAACCGCAGGATAAACGTTATGACCGCGGGGCCTCTGAACGGAGGTGTTTGCCGCCAAATGCACCACGAATACATTATGCCAGAGCCAATGCGCTCCTTCGTGGCATCAAAATCCTTGAGATATGAATCAATAGGATATGATCGATATGGCACAAACTCTTGTCAGCTAAGGTGGATTCAAATTTGTCCCCTTAGACAAACATTAACCCAGGTCTACAAGGTTCCCTTGACGAAGCAACCCAATGCTGCCGACAAAGTCCTTCTGTCAGGTTGGGTCGACTACTCCTCTGACTAAGTAGACTAGGGACACGATGTCCGGGATGACGGAACCATGGGATTTGATCGAGTCCATCATCCATTCACCCACCATCCGCTTAAGTACAAGATGCGAAATTTCAAGTTTTAAATATCATCCAAACTTTCAAATCCAAAAGCACATGCCGTTACTAATAATGCCAGATAACATGTATATTCTACGTATCTGATTGATCGACTAGCCTTAATCGAACTATCTCTCTCGTGATCGGGAGGGGTAATTAACAATAGGGGCTTGTGCCTATAGGAAACCAGAACTCAGATCATAAAGTCCTCGCAAAATGAGGGCAAAATCTCTGGGTAGGGTCTTATCTACAAACCCATCTGCCTTCCCAAAATTTACCCCGGAACTTATTCCGTTAACTCCCTCGCCGAAGAAAAGCAACAGTCCGGTGGAGGCCGGGGCCGAATTTTCGGAGCCCACAGCAAGACAACCAAAAAAATTTAAACAGAACAAATTGGGTGGACAATAATTAAAACGGATTAATAAAGTTATTTACTTCTATTTTGCATCTCTAACACAAGTAACCAAGGAAATACCACACAAACATTTAATACGAGGAAAATATTGTGAAAAATATATTAAACACTCAGCACAACCTTACTAGCAGCAAATTGAGAACATTTTCCTTGCCATATCCTTCGAAGAGAGAACTTGTGCAGACAAAAATCACTTGGACTTCGTTCAGTCAAGGTACCAGCATCAGCGTTGTTGCAGTTATCTGCAGCTTCTACAAGCCAGACAGAATGCTGCAGCCTATCTGCAATCCAAATTAAACTGTAATAATAATTCAAACATTATAAATTCAAAAAATGAACCAAAAGTAGTAACCTTTATTGTATGATGCCATCAAAGGTATTATATCACTTGTCCATATTGTCCTCTCCTCATAATCCTTCATGGCAGATAATTTTCCCCTTTCTTCAATATAAGTTGCCTGCTAAAATGCTTGTGAGCATGCATGATAATTGATAACCATGCAAACAAGGTATCATTTGGCTAGAATTTTAAAGGCAGTATTAGCTTAGCATATTTCTGTTGGAAGCAAACACCAACAAATTGTTAGCAAGCACCTAACTTAACCAGCACTTAATTAAGTATAAGCAGAGCCCAAGATTGACATCCTCATGGATGTGAAATAGAAAGGCCAACCCGCATCATGCTAGTTGTTATAAAAAAAAAAGAATAATTAGTATAAAAGCTTGCAATTATCTACATAAGACAAATATAGCAAGAGCTATAAGAAACAAATAAACTGGTAAATGATAGAATTTTAATGCAAAGTAAAGGAAGTTTAATTTATTTAGATCCACTGCAAAGTAAAGGAAGTTTGCATAAAGTCAATAGAATTTTAATGCTTGGAAACAGAAAGAACGTAGGGTTAAACCCTTATGGTGCCAAGCTTTTGGGATTCAGTATTGGTTCTACCATTTGATTGATCATGATCAAGATGCATAGAATTTAATTTATGTATTTAAATTTTGAATTTGTTAGGAAAAAGAAGATTTTTTTATATCTTATCACTTATTGTCATGGAGATTATCCTGTAATAAGCCTTAGAGTGGGTTTATACTATAGGTTATCAAGCTATTTCTATATATATAACCCCCTCTTCTTTGTAAAAATCATGTTATGAAAGATTCAATGAAAAATTTTGCAACCCTTGTTTTGAATTCCTTTTATTTATTTCTTTAGCATTGTATGTTCTGAAAATTCAATGGAAAATCCATTGTATAGATCCGAGTATTGTAGGCATGAAAACATAATTAATGCAAAATTGAGTGTGAAATGCATGTGTTAAAAGAAACATGAATTCATGGCCGGTACATTTTCATCTACAACAACACAGCATTCTATTTTTTCTACATAGTTAATTTTGAATTTCAGAATAAAAGATTGATTTTCCAAATTTATTTTTCCTTGATCGTTATTTCTATATTTATTTATTTAAAGTTTCTCATCTTACTTTTTACAAAATACAAATGAATAAAAATTAAGTTATAAAATCACCCATTTTCTGCTCTCCTCTCTTTCATTCTAACTTTTAAGATGGTATCAAAGATATTGAAGGTTCTACTCCTTATGAGGTCGAAGGGTACTTTGATATGGAGCCTGTCCTCCATGTTGACAAATCCTTCACCAACATTAAAAGCCAATCTTCATACAAAAAAAATGATTATATGTGAAGGATCCTCTTAAACAGAAGACAGTGCATTTTAGAAGTATTATGAGTAAATACATATTACAACGTATATGTTTTATACCTAACCACTCATAATTAAATGATTACATATAAACTAAAAATTATGCAAAGTGCAAATTTAAAGTATTATGAGTAAACTAGCATTAATGGTATATATTTATATTGGGGCATCGTGTAATTATGAGTTACATATTAGTGCGTAATGTTGATCAACTTGTTCATGATGAATGAATCATGTGTTTAAATGTTCCATGATGCAAAATGCAATGAGCTTAAAAAAGGTCATTTATGTGGGATAGATTTACAAAATATATGTCTGACATTTACAGGCGGGGCAATAAGCAAACAAGATAACAAGAAAACCAGATGAGTGCCTATGGAGAAATAGGCTCCTCAATCTCTTGATATTGATAAGGGGGAAACTCATTAGTGATAATGATAGGTTATACCTAGCTTTTATTGAATCGTATAATGATAGCCAATAGGTTGGTCGATGACCTTATAATGTTATACTAGTGTGAATCTGATATAGTTTGCTACCTTATGATGGTCAATTAATGTAGACATTCATACATTCGCATATTCAAAGGTTATAAGATGATAGGATATGCTATTTTATATAAATAAAATAAGCAAATGAATGTCATAACGCAATTAATCTACAATGTAATCACTAGTACACTTGGCAAGTATAGTGCATATAATAAATTAGACACTAGATATTTCCGTAGTAATTACCTTAGTACAATTAACTCTCTGTAATGTTATGTCCATACTCAAGAAATTTCATTTCATAATGATTGCAAGAAAAGCACCAAACTAGTTTACGATCATGCTTTTGATCCTTATATCAAGTTTTTTATTAGCATGACATTATTTCCTTACCATAAGTATTTGAATTCTATTATACAATTATTTTTCTTGCTGCACCTCATAGCTCGCTAGATTATTATTCAAGTTTGTAAAAAGTAAAGGGAAGGATAAATTGAGCATGAGTGAGGATCAACTTATAGAATTACTCACAAGTTTTGAAGTTTAATTTTGGTATAAGAAGTAAAACTGGATAATGTAATGAATATCATGAATATTTATTGTTATGTAAAGTGAACTTTGATGTCTCTAAGAAGCTTTATAATTTACTGAATGAGATATTTTGGTATACTTCTAAATAATTAAACTGTGTTATCTTATTCGATTATTATTAGTTTTGGTTAGGGTAAATTTTTAGTTTGGAACATTCGAATGATTGAGTTGATCTACTTTACTTTGGTGGGTAAAATTCTAGAATGGGTAAGATTCTAGAATGAACTTTGAAGATAGGCTCAATGTAATACCCAAATTTTCAGGTAAAATCTCAAAATTTTCTTAACTAAATTATATCTTGAAATATCAATTTTCATGAAAATCACCAAAGATCATTCTATTGTATTCTACTCGTCAATTGGAGCAAATTGGTATATAAAAGTACATGTTAAGTTGCAAGGTGTTAAAGTAATTGAATTAGTTTTTATTTGCATTTTTTCCTAAAATTTTTAATTAGAATTACTGTTCATTTATAATGCTAATTGTAGCAGGGTTAATCATGCATTGGTTCAGATTAAGGGTAGTTAAGTAATAATTCATTAATTGGCCATTTAAGCCATCTCCTCGCTCAACTGATGCTATTCCTCAATTTAACTCTCAGTTTTCATTTTTTTCCATCACTTAGGTTGCAGCTAGGGGGATGGAAGCAGAAGTAGGTCGAAGAGCAGGACAAGGAAATTAAATAAGGAGAAGAATATAAGGATATTGATTTTATTGTAAAATTTTATTGTACGTATGTAATATCCAACTTTTTGTAGAATTTCAATGGCGTGTGAGGAGAATAAATTTTGAGGTAAGATATCAATTAGGAATGAGTTGGGTTGTAGGTATTTTGATTAGAACGGAAATTGTAATAATTATGTAAATTGAAAATTTAAGTTGTATAGATAATTTATAAGCATAAAAGGTTGCAGGGAATCGAAATCATTGAGGCATCTCATCACAATGGTAAGAAATGCAAATTCTAATTTAGAAAGTAAATTCTTTAGTCTTACGATATGAACAATTGCATTTCAGTAAAATGAAGTGTAAAATGCACTAGAACTTATTCATATTGTTGAATATGTCCATATAGCCGAGTATTCAAGTGTAAATGAACACACAGATTTTAACAATTCAAGCTTAAAATAAAGTGTATTATAATTACATAACCGTTTCACTAATTAACTGCATTTTTGGAAAGAAAAGCAATGAGTTATCTAAAGTCTTCCTTTTTCTTCATAAACATGCATAATATTACTTATGCTTTTTATATTAATACATGAATCATGTAATTACCAGTTACATAATTGATCAAAAATTGCTAAGCCTAACAAATGTCATGTTAGATGATGATTTGCAATGACATGTTGTAATACCTATGCAGGTAGTGCAAAGGGGATCCCAATGGAGACATTAGGACCTAAATATACAATAGATATAATGTTAGATTTTACCAAGGCTCCATTGAATACTATTATGAAGCTATAAAGTCTAACTTTATGTTATAATGATAGCCAAAAACTTTGATATCTAATCATGATATATTCATAGGCTTCAAATGAAATGAGAGATCAAAAAAAGCATAAGTATTAAATAAAATACTTATATGAATAAATTCAAGTGTGATATTTAAACCATTAAAAAACATAATATTGTTCCATCAATGGCATTGTAATAAGCATTCTATTATTATTAGTTCATATGAGCATATATATGCTAATTTATCTGTATAAACAACTTATGAATTTAATTCAATCATAAATACATGAATATTGTTAACTTTTTTTTAATTCTATATTAGAATTACACATCTTTCTAAACCTCATAGCTCAACAGATTTTTATTCTGACTACTTTTACAAGAAAAAGGAAAGATAAGATTGAAGTTGAGTATAATCATATCAATTCAAAACTTATATTTTGTTGTATAGTTGCGTGAGATGAGTCCTGAGAAGAGATATGTGAGTTGTTTGTTATAAAAATATTTTTTAGTTGTTAGTTGCTTTGTAATTATATATATATATATATATATATATATATATATATATATAGAATATTTGGAATGCTTTCATTTTAAAAATGAATATGGTAAAATATGACATTAATATTTTTGGGAATGGTTATGAGTTATGAAGGTTAAGGAAAAGTATGTTTTCCTTTGTTGCACCCTGCATCGATTGGTAGGGAGTCGGATAGGGTGGGCACTCAATCGGCTGAATCATACTTGATTAAGAGGATTCATCATGAGGCGTGACATTCATCATGGTGATTAAAAGGCACGGGTAGTCTCAATGACAATCTGACCACACTTTATTTATTGAAAATAATCTTAAGATCAAATTACTAACATGCTTGTATATTTTGAATTAAAGATCTTAGATCATTGGAATATTTCCTAGGCATGGAAATAGCAAGATTAAGAAAAGTGATATATGTCTCAATAAAAATACACCTTCACTTGCTGAAGGAAACCAATAAACTAAGGTACAAGCCTGAAAAAATTACAATGGATCCATTAAATAAACTTGGAACCGAGGAAGATGTCACAATTGTTGATAAAAGGTAATATGAGAACTTATCTATCTTACACAATTCGATATTTACTCATGTGTTATTTTAACATGGAGAAGTAAAAAAAAAAGCATGTTGAAGCTTGAGCATTGTTGAAGGAGAATTTTGAGCCATGACCCATGAAATTTGTGAAAAAATGTGGCTTAAACAGGTACTCAAAGATTTTAAAAGTTTCCCTACAAAATGACTGATGTGACAATCAACCTACTTTTAGCATTGCAAAAATCCTATCCAATACGATTAATGGACATTTTGTAAAAGAGAAGATTGAACAAGGATTATTAAGTTTGGTTATACTTTAACAAAACATTAAATTATTGATATCCTTTTTAAAGCCCTTAATTAATTACAATTTGATAATCTTATTTCAAGCTAAAAATGGTCATTATATATTGACAACTTGAGTAGAAATCTTAAAATCAAAATAGGGAGTCTTCAAGTTGACCAACAATCCATCAAGTCACAAAACAATTCTAGAAACTGCAATAAAGCATACTATCAATTTCATATTTCATTTCACATGCCGTTCAGCGCACTTCCAACCTTACAAACATCTCAGGAAAACAACAAGTTGCAGTCCAGCAGATAGTCTACCTAGCAATCCCGAAAATTCTTTCCTAGGAAGATCTGCCAGTTTCCAGGTCTCGATACAGTCAGCCAACCGCTCAATTCCTGTGTTTAGAATGGAATAATGTAACAACCATTCTAATATTTGGTGTATTTGATCATGTTTGATATCTTTCCTGCTTATCCCCGTTCAAACAGTTATGGCTTGATTCCTTGCTTATTATACTTTCTATTCTAGACATACTAACTAGGCCTTATATCTCTTATAAAATTTTACCCCTTCAACCTAATGTAATAAGAAGAAAACGAAGTATTCTTCTCCTCTATATATTCTCCGTAGTACATATAAATTATGTCTTAAAATAAAAACTAGGGTAATTTGATGTTTAACAATCCTTTAAAGTTTTGTAAAGTATCTCGATTGAGTACAAAGTCATTTCCAAATAGACTTATCCTTAAAAATATATCATTACAACAATCATTGACATAAAATTATAGATGGAAACACAATATGACAAGCAGCCATAAAGCCAGCTTACTCGATAGGTAGGCAAGAAACAGATCTACAGATAAAGAACTACAATCAAACTCTGACAAAACAATTAACCACAATTAGTAGAACAGCATATCAGCATTAGACGTTCAGAATGATGAGCAGTAACAACATTATACAACAAAAAAACGAAAGGGCGTCCTTTTCTACAGACCATTCTAAAAGGATAAATACATGGCCTAGAACAATGTATTAGTAGTAACATGAACATGAGAAATCTGACATCTTAAAATCATAGTCCTAAGAAACAAGCATTACATCCAACTACAGCAGTCAATTGAGCTCCAAAGTTCAAAATTCATTCAATTTCACCTCAAATTTAGGTAGAATTTAGTTGGTCCAAAAAATTTTGTTCTATATATGAGTTAGGTCATGTTCGCTTGCATTCCGTTCAACACAGCAGTCTTTTCTTTTATTCATGTACGCATATCTATAAACCATAAAGATATGCATATGAAGTACATAAATAACTCTTCCCTCAATGTGCAAATGTTTTTAATATTTTTCTCACACATAACCTTAACTATAATAAGCTTAAATGAAAGACCATTAGCCACTGCATTATATTTTTAACGCCAACATTATCATGGATTGGTATGATTCTTCCACACTGAGGAAACCAAATGATAAGGAATAGGAATGATATTTACTAGCAATGGGAATGATAGTAACTAGTGATACAGGGCTCCGATTCATGAAAAGATGTCAAAGCATCTGCCTTCCTCAAATAGATATACAATGAATGTAGAGATTTTGGTATGTCCAAGTTGTTAAACAGCTACACAACTAAAGTGCACGAAGACTGCTTGTCAAATTGATCGGGTTGTCAAGGAATAGGCATCTAATCAGTAATCACTACGTTAATTAAGATGGTACATTCAGAACCCAAAACAAGGTGAAAAGTATGATAAAATAGATAGCAAACATAAATTAGAAATAAATAATAACTATAAACTTGCCTTTCAAGATTTTATTCAAAACAAAACAAACAAATCAATTGAAAAAGTGGTATCTTGAAGTTCAAAACTTAATAAGATAACAAAACAACCATCTGAAATAAGCATGTAAAAACATCCGTACCTGTAGTTCGCCCATAGGATGCTTCAAAATCAAGTGTGATGATAATGCAGCCCCGTCTTCCTTGAGAGTTGGGTCAAAGTAATTATGCTGATTTGCAGTATAACGCCGGCAACGATAATCCTTTGAAGTACGAGTAATATCTCGTGCATATAATATTGAACTAGTAGTTGTTAATGTGCGGCGTTCATCTGTCGACTTTTGTAGCAGTAAACCAAATGGAAGGGGCCAAATGTTTGAGATGGTATAAGGAAGAGGAATACAGATAACCTCACCTAAAAAATGATCTGATTTACTAGAAGTATTGAACTTGACAGTGAAATAATTATCCAACTGTCAATATGATAAACATAATAATTTTTGACAGAACATGTTCATCCCAATTCAAAATAAAAAAGGACTAGAAGGTCAAGATTATTGATTTGGACTAACAAAATGCACTAAAAAAGGAACCTTGGCTTCAGTAGTATCAATTAAAACGCCAATATTTCAAGATGAACTTCATTGAATAAACATTTGTTTTCTTTGAGATATCACTCACCAGATACATAGTATATTGATAAGTTATTGATTTCTAAAACACAAAGAAGTGCATCAGGGAAAGCATCCATGCGACACCAGCAAGCCTGCATTTCATGTTCAAAGACTTTCTCAGAAAAAACACTGCCAAATGAAAGAAAAGACAGAATCTTCCTCAACAGCACTCCATAAATAACCGGATAAGTGAAGACAGAAAATGAGGGCTTCCAAAGGATAGTTAGACGCTTCTCAAAATTAGCATAATAATACTCAAGGGTCACATCACTTCATACCCAAAAAAATATAGGCCCCTGAGGACGTCATGACGATAAGAAGAATGGATAATAAGCATTCAAAGATACATTACTTACATAGAAACTCATCATTTAAGGTTAACGTATGAGAGTTAATTATAATCTTGTTGACAAATTAAACAAGCAGAATTAAGAGCTGAGAGCAGCACAGACTTAAATGAAAGACCATTAGCCACTGCATTATATTTTTAACGCCAACATTATCATGGATTGGTATGATTCTTCCACACTGAGGAAACCAAATGATAAGGAATAGGAATGATATTTACTAGCAATAGGAATGATAGTAACTAGTGATACAGGGCTCCGATTCATGAAAAGATGTCAAAGCATCTGCCTTCCTCAAATAGATATACAATGAATGTAGAGATTTTGGTATGTCCAAGTTGTTAAACAGCTACACAACTAAAGTGCACGAAGACTGCTTGTCAAATTGATCACTGAAATTAGAAAGAATTCCTCTTGAGAAATTCAATCAACCTTGGGATAAGGTCCATGGAATGGAAGTTAAGGTGCCATGTGTTCTTATTGATCCAAACTAAGTGAAATAATCAACTCCAATTCAAGTAAAAGGAGAATATCAAATAACCATCAACTTCTTCCTTTTTCTCTTCATCTCCCTCAGCTAGGAGCTTAATGAAAAGTGAAAGCATTTCTCTTAACCATTTCAATCAGACCTAGAATATGTTCCAAGAAAGGTTGCTAAGGTGTTATGTGTTCATCCTAGATCAAATCTAAGTGCAAGGTCAACACGAAGTTAAGTACAAGCAGAATGTCATCTTACATGTGACTTTTTCTTCTCATCCTCTCTCACGGCTCACCATGTCTTATCATTTGCGATTTATGTTTATTCTTTATTTAAGGGATGGCTATAACGCGTTCATTTTATCATTGTTGCCTCCCATTACCGATTAATTCTTCCATTCATCTTTAATTTTCTCTTCTCAATACAACATATTCACAATAAATTACAGCATATTCACAATAATTTATGAAGATAAATACAATCAAATCGATTTCTTATAAAAGCTACAAAATTAATAAGCCAATAAATCAATAATGATGCAAAATGGAAGGAACTGATGGAAATTTGACAAAATAAATTTCAATAAGGAATTGCAATAGTGGTAAACTTAAAAGAAGAGCGTTCAAATGCATTGGTATGATCAAAAAAGCAATTAAGTGTCAACTATAAGCTGAAAGAAATTCTTAATATTGATAATTTGCAATTGCCACAAGCAATCTATATTCCTCTTCCACAATTCAACAATTTGAATATCAACATATACCATTGGTAAAATGCCAATAAAGAACTGCATAAATTAATTCCTGACAAGATAAATAATATCTCCGCTATAATAACAATTTAAACAGAATTTTAAAAAAAAATGCTAAGATAAGATTACGTACAGTAATAATATTGTTTGTAGAGCTATATCTTTTATGAACTTCGAAACCCTTGGTCCACATAATCCTGACAAAAAAGAATATATTGGAATTAAATTTGAAACTCTCCACAAAGACAGAGGTTAAGCCATGCAGCTCAGCTTTCGAGTAATCCTATCACTTATGTAAGCAATTGTTCTAGCACAATAATCAATGTGCATAAAGTCAAGCATGTTTGAAAATAGCTCAACAGCACATCCAATTACTTCACTCACAATTAACTCATATGTGTCATATTTTATAGGGATTGATTAAAAAACCAATTCCAATTAATCGTGAGTGACAATTTGAGTCAATAAAAAGGAATCTACGAGCAATAAAAAATTAATCAGGTGAAATGGAATGCTTAACCCAAATTAAAAAAAAAACTAAATACTAAACATACTCTGGTAACAAAATTCCATGTGTTTTTTTTTTTTTAAATAACTAGCAAAATTGCCTAAGCCAAGACCCGGGTTAGCTATAGATCTATTGTACAGCAGAAAGTGAATCTGCTGAGGAATTGGGAAAGAATAAAGAGAGCATTCAAGGGAATCCTCAAAGTATTTAAACAAGTGTTAAATACTCAAAGCGCAAAAAGAATGAAATCCTCAACATTCAAGGGTGGAAATGAAACTCATTTTATTCAATAATCAAAAACCAACTATAACTGATCATGAAAAGGTTTTTCTAGAACCTCAAAATAGGACAATTAAACTAACTACATAAAAATAATTAAAATTGTTTAATTTTCTAAGATGTTACTTGGGATCTCTTTCTTTATATTTTAATTTAAAATAAAATATATTTAATACCTTAGATATTTAGTATATTTGTTTTATTTAAATACTGTATAAGCCAATGCATATGTCAAGGTGGTAGCAGCGGTGGCAACACTGGGCTGCAATAGTAGAAACATTGGTCACAACGGGAGGTGACAATAGCTACAGTGGCGGCGGTCATGGGGTGATGGCCAACAGCTGGTTAGTCAGGGTGGTTTTCATTATAAAAAATGAAAACAACTAAACTTGCTTTAACATGTTTTGAAAATAGCTTGATTTGTTTTAAAAAATAAATAAAAACAAAACCAATTAAAAATACATACCAAATATATTTAAAAAAAAAAACAAAAATAGTTCCAAACATACCCTAAATGGCTCAAAGTATAATCATCATAAAACTCTGATCATATGGTAAAGTTAACCAGTAACCAACAAGTAAAAATACTAGGACTTCTTAGGAAGCCCTTGACAACCAAGCTACAAAAAACTTAGATTTCATCAACTCATCTCTTGAATACAACAATAGAATGAACAGTGGTGTAATATTTGATGAGGACAGCAAAGTTAAGCATAGATCCTAAAGAAAGCATAAAAGCAAAATTTGGTGATCCTGCACCGGTCGAGTAATGGATGAATGAGCGAATGATATTTAGATGGTCATTGTGAGTGATAAGCTATGCCAGCACTGAAACACAGCCCATAATCATGAGGGAAGCAATGGGGGTCTTGAAAAATGGGTGAAATTTCGATACAACAATATCACTTGAGTGAAGAACGAATATGGTTTCGTAATTATTTTTCATTGAGTGCACAATCAGGACTTGGGGAATGTGAGAGCAGCGGGATGCTTTGTAGGACCTAAAAAATCAATTACTGGAGCATAGAAACCTAAAATAGACCATTATATGACTCATGGAATATGAACAGGCATAAAAGTTGTCAGAAAAAAAATGGAATATGAATAGGCATCATTAGACCAGACGGATAACTCCTGGAGTTGATCAAATATACTTAAATAAGTTCATGAAACATAAGCGCATCAAGCATGTTTGCTCCTAAAGACTCTCACAAGAGAGAAGATACATCTAAATAAGCAGAAGAAAACTCCAGCGGTCCAGCCCTAGTTTTCCCCCTGGATATTCCTCCATGTGAATCTTCAAACAACTCAGACGGTAACAGCATTTACGTAAACAACCAAAGACGTCTCTTTGTTCCCAAAGATTCCTCTCACTAGCTCCTTGTGCCAACAATTTTAATCAGAATCATTTCCAATATTACCATTAAGCCTTGAGAAATGATAGTCAGATTAGTTTAAATGAACAGTTCTAAACAAAAAAATTCCCATCCCGTTTCAAAATCAGTTGAATACAGCACATAAAATACACAAACATTCGACGGCAACAAGAAAAGCTAAAAACCCTACAATGCACAGGTAAATTGGCGCAAGAAAGAAGAGAATCTTACCGGTTTCCTCTAATGAATAGCTCCTGGTCGCCGCATTCGAAGAATGAACCAGCGGAAGAGAAGTCGCTGTCAAAGGGGGGTACATCGTCCCTCTCGCGGGTGACCTCCGGACCAAAAAGAAAGTAATCGTATTTCTCTGGCACGCCCTCTGCTGGCTTACCGTCCTGCTCCTCGGATGTGAGGCCAAAGGGCTTGAACTCTCGGAGTACAGTGAGGTAACGCACTCCAATAGACATCTCCGGCGGCGGAAACCGCCGAGCAGAAGATGTTATATTTCTCCCGCACGAGTGCTCGAATCAGTGAGGAACCCGCAGTATTTTATAGGGGTGCAAGATTTGGCGGGTCGAGTTTGGGTGTGGTGCGAAATTTATGGGACCCAATAAATTTGATACTAATTTACCCTAAGTTTTAAATATTTGATTTGAACCTAATTTAATCCGAATTCGTTGTTTAATTTATCCTTAAAGAGTTCGTATAAATATCATAAAACTTTTATAGATTTATACATCTCAAGACAAAAATTTTATTTCTATAATATTTTAATTTTTCAATAACATTAAAAATATTACTAATATTAATTTATTCGAATATATATATTTTTATACATATCTTTCAATAACATTTAAATATTAGGTTATCATATTAGTATGAAATCTAAGTATTAAATATTAGTGCATATTGATTATGTGTTATGTATGTCCTTGTTTTTTCTTCTTTTTTTCCTCATTAAATTATGGGATAGAAAATTAAATATTATTTAAAAGCAAATATGACCTTTGTTTGCTCATGATTTATTCATGAAAAATACCTAAACTTACTAGCAGGTTTATCTCGAGGGTAATGGAAGTGTGAGTATGAATGGAGAGTGTAGTACAAGAAGAATTGAGAATGTCTAGAGATCTTAGATAATTAGAAAATTCCTTATATATCCAAAAGATATTTTTGATAATGCATTATATGTCTTGAATTGTGTTCATTACTCCTGATTTATAGGATTTAGGTGGGACAATAAAAATGGTTACATGAAAAAACATAAATATATCTATATATATATATATAGTGCTACATGGATTGCATATTCAACATTACATCACATTATACACACATGTCATCATCTGAGTGGTGGGAGAGTTGGGATTGAAGACTTGTCTCCGGGCAAATGTAGTAATGTCAAGTGGCATAGCGGCGAGATATGGTGTGTTGTGGGTTGGTGTTGAGTTGGACTAAGTTTATAATGGCGAATCATTTGGGTTTTATTGTCTTGCTCTAAGTCAAGGATTGTCATAATGAATGAGTAGGTTTGTGTTGAGGAAACTTGGGTCTAATGTAGTGATGAGCATAGGTGGTACATGTGATACCCCTGGGTGAGAGTCTTGCTATAGTCGAGCTTAATTGAGGGATGTTGATCCTATACTAAGTGTTGAGAATTGAGATATCACTAATGGTAGGTGATCCACTTTATGTGATATTCTTAACGTGCATAGTTCAAGGCAGACAGTCTAGTTGATTCAGGCAAGTGTCCAAGAGTTCTTCTTTTATGAGCGAGTAACTTTATCATAACCTAACTATTACCTGTTAAAATGCATGTGAAGGCATTTATGTGTATTGTGATACCCATAATCTAATTTGAAAGAATTATTATTTTTATCTTTTAATATACAACAACTAGAGCAACATAATATCTTTTATCAACAAAATACCAATGAAAATAAAATTATCGATTAAAACATCAATATATACATCTGTATTCATTTCCCAAAAAATCATGTACACTACTCAGTATTTATACAACCATAACTACTATGTCTTGAGTATAAAATAATGACTAAAATAACAAGAACATGAGTTTGAAGGATCCCTACCAATCTCACACTCCTGTTATTTTGCCCTTATATGTAATTATTTAACCACATATAATTAGCTCAAGAACCCAACAAGTAATAAAATCCTATAACCGAACTCAAGCCATAGTAAAATAGTATCATGTATGTTAATAGTCAAATCATAGTAGTATAATTAATATGATAATGAATTTGTGCAGAAATAATAAAATGTGCATGCAATAGTAATAAAGTCTGTAGCTAACAAAATAATATAGAATGAAAGCCAAAAGTAATACGGTGGGAAAATTAGTAAATTGATATGGGTGTCGACTCACTAAGGTAGTCATCGTATCAGTAGTATCAATTAGTAGTGAAATCAAATAAAACAACAAAACTAAGACATCTGTAAAAATTATAAAAAATCATACTAAAGCAATAAAATCATATGAGCGTGTACCCATATTATCCATGTATTTTATATTAGTATTGATGCATCCTTAAAAAATTATCTTGATCGGGCATGAATCTTGAGCAAAAATCAAGTTGGAAACTTCTGAAATTAAAATTGGGACCATCTGAACTCCAATTTCAGCAAAATTATAGTTGAACTGAACATCTCGGAAATACAAACTCAACGACACCAAATTCGACTCAATTTGAACCCAAATGTGTCCAAATCAAGGGCCCAAAGCAATATTAGAGGGTTCAAACCACAATTTTGATTACCAAACAATTTCCAAACCTAACATGCTTATAGTCGAATCGAGCGGCTCGATGAGACAAATCTAATGAGCCTAAGTTCACAGAATTCTGACATCATTAAGACTTCCAAATGTCTAGCAAACGATCCACGTTTAAGGGATTCATCATCGGACGTCCATCCAAAACACTCCTCATTCACCCTTGATTATCCTCCTATTTATGGGCCATGCCACTCTATGAAATTTATAAATAGACCCCTCATTCCTCTTGAAAATAGACCCCTAAGCCTAAGGAGTAAAGGTAGAGATCAAAGATCGCTCTTGCCTCCTTGCCTCCTCGACTACTAACAAAATTCTACTGGACCACCACCTGACGCCCTGAGCTCTTTCGGACCACCACCTGATGCCTTAAGCTCCGTCGAACCACCACTTGACGCCTGGAGTTTTGCCAAACCACCACATGAATCCCTAAGTTCTGCTGGACTACCATGTGATGCTTGAAGTTCAGTCGGACCACCACATGAAGCCTTGAGCTCTGCTGGACCACCACATGATGCCTGGAGTTCCGTCGGACCACCACCTAATGACTTGAGTTCTGCTAGACCACCACTTGACTCATGGAGTTCTACTAGACTACCATTTGATGCCTAGAGTTTCGCCAGACCACCACCTACCATCTTGAGCTCCATTGGACCACCACCTGACACCTTGAGTTTCATCGGATCACCACTTAATGCTCTGAGCTCTACCAGAACACTACTTCATGCCCGAAGTTTTGCCAGACCATCATTTTACGCTGGAGTCGATCGAAAGATTTTCATAAGAGCTTATCTGTCTTGTTGTGGGAGCAAAAGGAGAGTCACTTCTATCTAGTGCAATACTTAGAGAGGGAGTCTCCAAGGAGTAGATGTAGGTCAAGTAGACTGAATCACTATAATTTTTGGTGTGTTCTTTCTAATTACTTTGTCGTATTTAATTTCTGCACTTTTCTATGATTTGTTATGTAATTGAAATATCTAATTTTTGTTATTATACAATTAGTTCTACTTTCGCATCAAGGGGGTTTCAACTTTTATTTATTAAAGACAATTTTAAAATATCAAATTCATTCTCCTCTTGGTTAGCATGGGGGTTAGTTCTTTAGAGTTTCACAACCCTCACAAACTTTCAGTCAAATCATTACAATAGTACTAATATGATCATAAATCTATATAGAAATATTAAAATACATATGCATTAGCAAATAATTCTATAGTTAGTAAAATAATATAGTACACTAGTCAGTAATGCAATATGGTGGGAAAACAAGTTTGTTTGTCAAGTCACCAAGACAATTTTCATATCAATACTATCAATTAATAGAGAAATCATATAAAATGATAAACCAAAGCATAAGTAAAAGCTTTAAAATCATTTCAATACAATAAAATTATATAGGAGTGCATACATACTATCCATTTATTTTATATCAGTATCAAATCAATATATTACATACTCAATATGTCACATGCTTAATATCAATATAGTGAAGCAATATAAGTAATCAATATAGTGAATTAATAGTGGTCTCAAACAATATCGATGTTTATATCAGTAGCAATATCCGTACAGTGTCATCAATAAAATATGTGGTTGTAATAGTAAAGCAATACGGTAATAATAAATAAGTTAATAATTATATAAAATCATATAATAGTAGTAATAATGAATCAATAACATGCATTTCAGTTGTCACACTAAACAAGTAAGAAGTTCTGGCTTAATTAATATTTTTCTAATATCATATCAATATTAATAAACCATTGGTTCAGTAAATAAATTTGTCACGCTTTCCCATTGCCATAGTAATTATCTCCTTATAAGTCTCAATAAGTGAATTTCGTGAATCAGTGCAGAATAATATCAAAATACAGTATTTAAACAAAAGACCATCAGCCCATCTTTCTATACATGTCAATCATTCAAAAAATACTATGAATAACTAGTCTTTAACTTTTTTGTCATACAAATATTGTTATCACAACACAATAATAGTAATAATGATCAACTATTATTCAATCATATACCTATATTCTTTTTCAATACTTATATTAATAATATGCTTACACTAAAAATATAAGTTATTGAATCAGCATAAATTATAAAAAATATAGTAACTTCTATTTTGCCCTATGAAATTTAGTAAATGTTATAGTAAAAATATTGATGATAAAATGAATCACTTATTTTGGCTTTAGTACAATAAAATACAAAAATTTGGGGTGAAAGTTTAATAAATCTTGGGAAAAAATAATAAAATCAGTTTTGAGGAGAATCGAATAGTTAAAATCAAAATATTTAAAATATAGATAGGATTAGAATCACTTACTAATCTATCTATTGCAATACTTAGAGAGGGAGTCTCCAAGGAATGGATGTATGTCAAGTAGACTGAACCACTATAAATTTTGGTGTGTTTTTTCTAGTTAATTTACCGCATTTAATTTCTACACTTTTCTATGATTTGATCTGTAATTAAAATATCTAATTTGTGTTATTGTAAAATTAGTTCTACTTTCGCATCAAGGGGTTTTTAACTTTTATTTGTTCAAAATTTTTTTAAAATATCTAATTCACTCTCCTCTTGGTTAGCATGAGGTCTAGTTCTTTAGAGTTTCACCACCCTCATAAACTTTCAGTCAAATCATTACAATAGTACTAACATGATCATAAATCTATATAGAAATATTAAAATACATATGCATTAGCAAAAAATTCTATAGCTAGTAAAATAATATAGTACACAAGTAAGTAATGCA